TGCAATCAATGACATGAAACAAAATATATGTGGTCTGATGAATGGAAAAATGATTTGCCCTGTAAATTTTCACCAAAATCACAATAAAAACTTAAAAAAAAAAAAAAAGAAAAAGATTTACTACAAATAAACTACATGTTGGACAGCAAGCGACTATTGTTAAAGGACAGTGCAGAGTAGTCAACTAAAATGACAGTCAGGATGATTTTATAGCAACATAATAAAATGCTTATCTTGTAATTTTAAGTGCAAACACAAATTATCAAATTAATTAAACAATATCATATCCAATATTAAGGGGGGGAAAAGCACAGGAAGACTCAAATGTGATTTCTTTCTCTTTTTATACTTCTCCATTGTCTAATTTTCTTTGAGTACATAGATTTTACCTGGAAAAAAAAAGGCAACTATCTTTAAGACCAAATTTAAAATTCCATCTCTTGGAATTTTTTTTCTGACTTCTTCAATCACAAAGAAGATACTCAGCAAGTATTTTTCAGAAGCATACCAAATGCCATTTGGGAAATTTTGTTGTTGTTATTAGCTGCCCATCAAGCTGGCTCCAACTTATGAGTACCTTATGTATAACAGACAAAACACTGCCTGCTCTGACACCATCTTCACACTCCTTGTTTGGTATGTTTGAACGTGTTGTTGAAGTTATTGTTGTCAATCCGTTTCACTGAGGGTTTTCCTCATTTTTGCTGATATTCTATGTTACCAAATATTATCCCCCTAATCTAGAGACTGGTCTTTCCTGGTGATGTGTCCAAAGTAAATGAACTGAAGTCTCACCATCCTCATTTCTGACAGTGCTCTGGTTATTTCTTCCAAGACTGATTTTTTCATTCTTCTGGCAGTTCGTGGTACAGGTATGCCTTTGAGATATTGTGCATTCAGTTCTAGATCACCTCAATAAAGTGACTATTACAATAAAGCAAGTCACACAATTTTTTTGGTTTCCCGGTACATATAAAAGTTATGTTTATACCATATCACAGTCTATTAAATGTACAAAAGCATTATGAAAAAGTTTGTAATATTATGAGAATTATCAAAATGTTACACAGAGACATGAAGGGAGCACATGCTCTTGGAAAAATGGTGCCAACAGACTTGATCAATGCAGAGTTGCCACAAACCTTCTTCAATTTGTAAAAAATGCAACATCTGCAGAGTGCAATAAAACAGAGCACAATAGAACAAGGTATGCCTGTATGTTCAATATCCTTCCAAAACACCACAATTCAAATGCATCAAATCTTCTGTCTTCTTTTTCATCGCCCAGCTGTTGCATACACATGAAGGCACTGAAAAGACCATAGCTTAGCTCAGGTGCACACTTTGTGTGTGTGTGTATGTGTGTGTGAGAGAGATCTGGGTGAAAGTTTACAGAACAAATTAATTTCCCATACAGAAGTTCATACACATATTGTCTCATAATATTGACCACAATTCCCAACAATGTAACAGCTCTCTTCCCATTTCCTTCCTGTAATTTACCTCTTCCCTGTGTCCTTCCCTTCCATGTGCTCCCACCCCCTGAGCTGTCTCCTTGTGCAAACACTGCCCTTCTGTTCTCCCAGGATTGATCACTCCAAGGAGTATATCTATCTGACATAAATGTTCAGCCCATATGCCTGTCTATTGTTTGGCTGGAAGCCACAGGAGTGAGTTCAATTCCAGACCTGAAGGATGGCTAAGGGCCATATCTCAGAGGTCTCACTAGGCTCTATCAGACCAAGAAATCTGGTCTTTTTTATGATTTGAGTTTTGCTCCACATTATTCTCCCACTCTATCCAGGCTCTCTGGCTCAGATGCACCTTAGTCATCAAAGTGACATCATTATTTTTTAGAACTACAAAGAGATCTTTTGCAGCAGACTTGCCCAATGCAATTCCTCAGTGCTGCTTCCATGGGTATTCCCTGTTGATCCAAGAAGAATGAAAAACCAAAATATTAAACTACACCATCAAATGGATTCCAACTCAAAGTGACCCTACAGGACAGATTAGAACTGCTCTATAGGATTTCCAAGGCTGTAATCTTTATAGAAGCAGACTGCCACATCTTCCTCCTGTGAAGCAGCTGGAGGGTTTGAACCTCCCACCTTCAGATTAGCAGACAAGTGCTTTAACCACTGCACCACCAGGGCTCCTCAAAAGAAGAAAGTCCTTAACAAATTCATTCTTTTCTTCATTTTTCATGATATTGTTTATTGGTCCAGCTGGGTATTTATAAAGTGGAAAACACTGCACGTACTTCTGAGATCCTCTTGCTTCACTTTATATTACTTTGCCCCAAGCATCCAAAAGGCTCTATTCTCTTCCTTTGGGAAAAAATTTTTGTATTCAGCACTCATGAGCTTTAAAAAATTACTCTAAAGACTACATTTCCAACAGAAACTCTCCACTTTGTATTTCCAATGCATTTACTAGAACTTCCTCTGGAAATTTCATTTTTACCTCAAATTTACAGTATTTAAATTAAAATTCATTATCTTTTCCCCTAACCCAGCTCTACCTACTTTCTGACATTATTAACAACAGCACCATTCTCCTTGGCTAAAAATGTGAGAGTCATATTTGATTTCTTCCTTTCACTCCCAACTTTCATCAATTCCTTCCTACAGGATTTCTTTATCTATTTCTGACCATTCTTTTTTTTTTTTTTTTTAATTTTGATTTGGGTGAAGATTTACAGAGCAAATTCACTTTCCATACAGCAGTTCTGACCATTGTTATTGCCACAAACTTGGATCAGCTTCTGAAGCTCCAAAATTCCAATACAGTCAGTCTAAAACAAAGCCTGTATCGTAGAAATAATATTATACGTAAGCACAAGCATTAAGAATATCTGTTGTTGTTGCTGTTGTTATATGCCATCAAGTCAGATATGACTCATAGTGACCCCTCCTTGGGTTTCGGAGGCAGTTATCACTACAGAAGTAGATTGCCCAACCTTCCTTCTGAGAAGTGGCTGTGGATTTGAACCGCCACCCTTCTGGTTAGCAGTCAAATGTCTTAGGCACTACACTACCAGAGCTCCTATAAGAATATCTAGAAGACTGCATACTGACCGTTACATCTTGGCCATTAGATTACAGTGGCTTTAAGGAGTTCTGGTAGTACGGTGCATAAAGCATTTGCCAGAAGGCTGGCAGTTCAAACCTACCAGCTGCTCTGTGGGAGGAAGATGAGGTAATCTACTTCCTTAAAGATTTACAGCCTTGGCTGTATAGGAGACCCTGGTTAGAGTGTGAGAACAATGTGGAACAAAACTCAGAATCATTAAAAAAAAAAAATGAGGACCAAGTGTGCTGGTCTGATAGCGCCCATGGAATCCCTAAGACTATGGCCCCTTGCTACCCTTCAGGTCTGGAATTGAACCCACGCCTGTGGCTTCTAGTCAAACAAAAGACAGGCATATGAGCTGAATATTTACATTAGGTAGATACACTCCTTGGAGAGATCAAACATGGGAGAACAGAAGGGCTGTGTATGCACAGGGAGACAGCTGGGGGTGGCGCAGGAGTGCATGGGAGGGAAGGACACAGGGAAGAGGTGGCTATGAGGAGGAAGGGGAGGGGAGCTGTTGCATTGTGGGAAATTGTAGTCAATGTCATGAGACAAAGTGTACGTGAGCTGCTGTATGGAAAATGGATTTGAATTTGCTCTGTAAACTTTCACTCAAACCACAATAAAAATTCCAAAAAAAAAAGAATTATAGCCTTGGAAACCCAATGAGGGTTACTGTGAGTTGGAATTGACTCGATGGCAATGGGTTTCTTATTTTGTTTTCTATTTATGTGTTAATAATTAACTTTGTATTACTTTGGTTATCCTGAACAAATAATATACATACATACACATACTCCAATGGCCAATTAAAAACAAAACAAACAAAAACGAATGTCCCCTGAAATACCTGCCTCATATCTCTCAAACCTCCAGTCCACCCTGTACTCTGATGCTACTTATGGTTAACCTTTCTAAAATGCCATTCTAATTCTATAAACCTGCCTTTCCAATTTTAAACAACTCTGTATTAGTTTCAAGACCTCCCAAAATACAGATTACCTCACCTTTAGCTCTTCCTCCTTTACAATGAGAACATGTTTAAATCCAGCTAAGCCTTCATATAAGGAGCTCTGGTGGTACAGTGCCTAAGCATTTGACTGTTAACCAGAAGGCTGGTGGTTCAAACTCACCAGCCTCTACACAGAAGTGGAGTGGAACAAAACTCAGAATCATTAAAAATATGGAAGACTTCTGTAGTGATACTGCCTCGAAAACCCAAGGGGGTTGCTATGAGTTGGAATCGACTCTATGGCAGTGAGTTTGGTTTCTTTGGTTTTAATCCTTCATATACCCAAACTCCTATGCTTCTTATTCATGATATTCCCAATCACCAAAAATATTTCCCCCTTTATATTTTTTTATATTTCATTTTTGTTTTTACATCAATTCTAATCCTTACTGTTCAATTCCTTTGCTCACTGTATTTCACATATATTATCTGAATTACAAAAATTGTTGTTCTTAGGTGCCATCGAGTTGGTTCTGATGCATAGCAATCCTATATAAAAGAGAATGAAACATTGCCTGGTCCTCTATGATCCTCACAGTCTGCTATGCATAAGCCCAATGTGGCAGTTTCAGTGCATCTCACTTAGGGCCTTCTTCTTTTTCACTGACCCTCTACTGTACCAAACATGGTACCATTCTCCAAGGACTGGTCCCTCCTGACATGACCAAAGTACAAGAGGTAAAGTCTTGTCATTCTTGCTTCTAAGGAGCATTCCAGGTATACTTGATCCAAGACAAATCTGTCTCTTTTTCCAGCAGTCAATGGTATAGTCAATATTCTTTGCCAACACCATAATTCAAATGCATCGATTCGTTTTTGGTTTTCCTTATTCATTATCCAGCTTTCACATGCATATGAGGTGAACTGCAAATACCATGACTTGGGTCAGGCACATCTTAGTCTTCAAAGTGACATCTTTGCTTTAAAACATTTTAAAGTGGTCCGCTGCAGCAGATTTGCCCAGTACAATATGCTGTTTGATTTCTTGATTTTTCTTCCCATGGACTGTTCTTCATCAGTAAGTGCTTTAAGTCCTCTTGAATTGCACAGTTAGCAATAGTAAAATGTCTAATTTTCTGTCTATACTTAGGTAGCACTTGATTATATACTATTTTGATAACTGTTTTATGCCTATGACCTACCTCCCTAATTTTCCCAAATAAAATCAAGCTCCTTGTGTGGAAAGAATTATATGCTTTTCTTCTTTAATCAAAATATTTATCATAGCACAACCCAATAAATGCTTATATATCACCTGATTGGTTCAGAGTAGTTCAAGAGTTTACAGACAAATAAATTAGCAAATTTTATAAAGAAGTTTAATAAAGTTAACTGGAGGGCAAAGGGCTTTAAGGACTAGCTATACTGTACCCACTGCCACCAAGTCAATTCTGACTCATTATGACTCTACAGAACAAAGCAGAACTGCCCCATGGTGTAAATCATTTTTATTGTTTTTACATGACACAGTGATAAGAATGAATCCAAAGTTGGAAAGACTCAGGAAGAAAGGAGGCAGCCCATCACCAAGAGTGAAGGGACATTCCTGCCCAAGTGCCATGGCCTGAATGCTCTAAAGGACAGGCACCAGAGAAGGTTCTGGTAGGGTCCAGGCCAGAGGGGACTCTGGCACCCATCATCATGGTTATGTCACTCCTTTCAGGTGAGGTGAGGTTCCTGCTCTCACCTTGCCTTCAGAGGTCCTACAAGAGAA